AACCGCTTGGACGTGGAAGGTCTGGGTACGAGACTAAGAAGTGACAGCGTCTCCATACACACAACATAGTTTGGTCAAAGAATTGCGTAATATTTTATAGTTTATATATATTATATATGGCTGAGTTGTATCAACATGGTATCGTCTTCTCGTAGGTATGACCAGACTAAATATTATTATTACTATTTTTTTACTCCTCTCTTATTAACAATAGTTCTTTTCAAGGATTCTTTTTTTAACTTATGTATCACGACAGATTTTTGAATCAACTGTTTTAATATCTTGATCAGGTGTTGAGTGGTTTCAGAACTATTTGGGCCGCAACTGAATCAGCAAATTTTACCCTTGTCGAGTTTTTCCTGGGAATGTAGATGAGAATAAAAGACAAAAGCCGAAAAGTGAATGAAGGTTATAGAAAAAGAAGACTCCCGACTACGATATTTGCAGGAGCAGATGACCTTCAAGGAAATTTTAAAGGGCTCGGGGAAAATTATACCTCAGTCATCTCCTTGACAATTGTTGTTTTTAAGGGTTCTTTGTTAATGTCTTCATAACTCAGATGTGTCTTTAAATATTAATAACTCTCTGTTTTACTGGTTACTGTACATTTTTTGTCATGTAAATCTCCTGGCGAGTAGGTCTGTGCCGCCGTTTGTAACCAAGATGACGATGACCTTTCGGCCGACTTTTCTTAGTTCTCTTTCTCCTCTCTTCCTCTTTTTGCCAGATGTCTTCGAGGTAGCTACCAAGAGAAAAGAAATATGACGAGGTTCGATTGTCACAGTTCAATGATTCTCCTTCCTCATCCAGCCAATGAACAGCTTTTTTCGGGGTTTTTTCGTACAACGATGAATTACTGACAGCTGAAGTGAGTGACGTCACGGATTGGCGCATTTCACGGCCAATCTGAAGAATCGCTTCCTTAAGGTCACTGAGCGATACACTTTCACACATTACGTCTGACAGGTTCTCCCTGGAACCAGTCTTGACAAGATGATCTGCTTCTCCACCATTCCTATCATCGTCACCTCCAATATCATCCATAGAATCTAGAGAGGCAAGTTTGGCTTCTTCGCTCTGAGACTCTTCTGGTCGGCTCTGTAAGGGAGCCTCGTCTTCAGACTGTTTTCTGTCTCCACGAATAAAGCCTATGATTCCGTTAATTGTTTCCTCTATAAGTTCCAAAGTGTCATCTTTTACTCTGTGATATTTGTCCTTCATGTAATCTGCCACGAATGCCCCCAGCTCGGCGTCGGCAAACGTTTCTCCATCATCCATGTTCTTGACCTCGTAGTAAGACTCATTTAGGATGGCAAGAAACATATTTAAGAGAACCATCGCCATGGAAAACAGATATCCGAAGATAAACAACGGAGCAATGAATCTGCTTGTAGATCGTAATTCATCCAAACGCATTTCGCCTCCAAAAAGCAATAGCAACATGGCTCGTAAACAGCTGTAAAATGATCTGTACGCATCGACGTCGGATGAAAATACCAAAAATCCAACTTGAGTGTAAGCTAACAGAATTGTAACGAATACAATCATAAAGGAAAGCACATTGTTGGCTGCCTTCTGCATTGTTCCTAAAACTTGACAAACGTGGCTGTTAAACTTAATCAGCCTTAAGAACTTGATTGTCATTATGAAGATGACGAAAGAAAGTACATACGTTTCCATATCAGACATAAACTCAATCTTGTCAGGGCTTGACGTCTGGAAGGGATTTTCTTGAAGTTTTTTCACGTACTTGCTCGTTTGAGATTCTTTGATGAAGAAGAATACCAATGAGCAGATTGTGCTGGCGATCTGCAAAAGTTCCAACCAGTTCCATACTTGTTTAAAATAAGAGCATTTCTCACGACGCAGTTTTCCAATCTCCGCAAACAAAAAGACGATCAGAATTATCATTAACAGAAGTTGGCAAACTTGAAAGAGCGACCTGGAGTCAGGATTAGACGAGGCATACAGTGATAGAGTCTTAATTGATACCCTGACACTGGATCCACCCGTCGGGAATCTTTCAAACAGAAGTTTTATAGTAGAAAAGAGTGAGCTGGACGGTTCAAAAATGGTAAATTCAATGAAAACAGCCATGGTTAGGTCATCAATCCAGTTGTCTTCCTCTAAAACTCTGATAACTTTCAGTGCTGTACGAGAATTATACCCAAGATCCGCTACGTACCCTCCACCGACAAATGTAGCCATTTGGCCCCCAAAGGGTCTTACTTGAAGATCATCAGATTTGAGATACCGCCAAGGCTTAGGACACTGATTTTCGAGTTCGTACTCTGTGTAAAAGGCTGTGGCATTTTTTACAGGGATCCATCCTGGTCTGTTGAATTGGGATACGCTTTCCGTCTCGCTTGTGTAGAAAGGAACGCATCTAACAAACTGACGTGCCAGGGATGGTTCTTTCTTTGCTATGGTGCAATTCTTTCCTGTTGAGAAATACAAAATAATGGAGATTAATGAAATGTAAGTAGATGCAGCAATCAGCCTCAGCTGCATGCAGTGCATAGCAAATAGGATAAAGTCTGCACTCTAGCCAATGGTCTAAGCTAGTCGGAGCTTATTCCGGTTTCCATAGCATGAAGCGACTAGAAGCACTGTTACTCCCGCTGGCTGACACGCAAATTCATGTGGGAATAGTTTGATAACTAAGAAAGATAATGAGAAAACTAACCATTGTCCTGCTTACCTGTTTTAATCCTTAACTGTCGCATTCTCGGCATACCGACTAAGTAAGCTGCTCGGTTACTGAGGAATCCTTCCTTGTACTCAAAGCTGCGGCCATTATACCAATCGACTTCATACAAGTTTGGCACGAGAAATTTCTTTGACCATTCCCAGAAAGTTGGGGTGTCTTTGACCTAAAAATCACATGCACAAATGTAATTTTAAATGGGAGAATAGAGCAATATTGAAAGACACCTAATCAATGGCTTCACGAAACGGAGATTACCAAAGCGTATTGCATGAGATATTTGCTGGAAAACCCCATATTTTATCTCAATCTTCTTCACAATATCCTGCCAGAAATTGTTATTGATAATGATTTTAAAAAAATCTTACCTTTATGGCAAATGTTTGAAAAAGGTTGTCCATCGACTGAGTAACCATGAATCGTTCAACACCCCTGTTGCCGTAGCACACCACCATCATAAGAAGTATAAATATTCCAAAAAGAGTAAATTCTACAACCTTGCGACTAATTTGAACGAGACTGCTTCTAAACTTTCGAGCCCTCTCAAGTTCTGACTTATTGGGAGTGATGACCTCTCCAGCCGCGTTCCTTTGAACTTCTGCACCCATTATTTTCTCCTGTTCTGGAGGTTTCTTCACCAAAACAGACAGTATGGAGGCAACCAATAGAACTTTGAGTGGCTGCATGACTATGGCATCTTGAAAGAAAGACACCATTACTGACACAAGCCATTCATTGGATGTCTCTGCACCCCACATGAGACTGTAGAATACAATAAACGCAGCTGAAGTCAGGGTTGCCATGGTGCAGATAAACCAGGCAACGTAGACAAACCAATGAGGTAAACATCCTCTGCGTTTTGCACCATCATCTTCGTCATTGCCTGTTTCCTTCGCTTTTAACTGTCTGAAGATGGTTACAACCAATACGTTAACAGGGATAGCAACTATGCTACTTTGGATGCCGATCTTAATCTGTGTAAGACTCACTTTGAGGGGACCGATCTGCACCGCGTCTCCAGGTGGTGTACCAAAATTGTAAAACATGGCATTGGTAACCATGGCAGCGAATAGAATAGAAATGCAGCATGCTAGACGCTGAGCCCGAGTGAATGGATTATGTGGTGGTCGAGTGAAAATTGACAACCAGAGATGCTTGTCTCCAAGGCTTGTGGCTGTTCTCGAGTAGAATAAGTTTTTGAAACCTGAAATCTCGTTCTTCCCAGAGACTGTTAACTCAAGATTCAACTTCCCGTCCTCTTTTTCCACCGCAATCCATCTACAAACAAGAAAAAAGGTATATCGGAATATCCATCTGCATGCTGAATCAACGCCTAAAATGTGGATTAAACTTCGTTTTCATCTATATGAGTAGAAGGTCCTATTAGACAGGTCTGAAGAGTTCGTGCTAGTGCAGTTCTTATGCACAACGCCATTCTCCTCTCATTTAATTTTCCTCTCATTTTAATTTTCCTCTTGAATAGAAGCATGCACCGAGTTAATAAAGTTGTAACCCGTACAGTTTTAACGAACTAATGATTAACACATGCAGCCCGAAAAGAGTAACAAATACTCGGTATTGAACGGACCGAGGTTGAAAGGATCTGAGGAGT